CTTCCCATTGACATATACATGTTTTGGATCCCTTGGATGGCACATGTGGAATCAAAGCAGTGGGTGGGGAAGAGTTGTAGACGTTCTCGATGTTGGCCACAAGGCCACTACGGTCTCCATCGCACCAGAAGATGTTCCCGAAGAGCAGGCCGAGCAAGAGCGAGGATCCTGCAGCGTGGAGTGCGAGCCCAGAACTGAGCAGAATGCTAGGAAAGAAAATGGCAGCTCGTCGAAGCTGTGCTTTTCTCATCTTTACTGCTTTCTGCGGAGGAAAAATCTGAAAAGCAACACCATGGCAGACAACGGCCAACCGATCTTCGGCTCGGGAGTAGCGCAATGTCTGCTGGCCGCACGCGGTCTGCGTAGCCAGTTCCAGCGATGTTGGGGAAGGAGAGGGGGCAAGCAAACATCGCCTGGGACAGCACAAAGCTGACGGAAAAGAGAGAACGCCCGAAACTCCAGGGGTAGAGTTGCTTGAAAGGCTAGTGTTCTGAACGATCTCGTTCGATGTTTCAGCGTATCACTGCATCGCATTTCATCTCGGTCGGTCGAGAAGGAGAGGAGGAGATGTTTTGTCATACTGCTGTGGAGGTCGAGAGACGTGTCAAGATGTTTCGAGGGCGCCACAAAATATGTGCAAAGACATGCTTGGATCAAGCAAGGCTTGGAAGTCGAATCCGGAATTACTTCAAATCCGAATCAGTTCAACACAGATGAAGCCATCAGAACCTTTTCAACATGAAGCCAGCCACAGACATGAAGCAGACTGGTAACGGTTCATGGCCACGTAAGAGTGGTAGTATGTAGCAGCAGTCAAGCAAAGTTTGAGTTCGTAATGCTGTCACCGTGGATTGACCGGAGTCGGCTGGCAGGGTGCGGATGCCAAATCACTACTTACCCTTCTGCAGGTGCCGGCAGAAGATATGCACAGCGCTCCTGCCCGGAGACCCACCAGAGATTACTCAAAGCTGCCGTGCACCCAGACACCAGCAGCCAGATGTGGGCCAGGTCAGACAAGTACCCGTTGCTTCTCTGACCAGGACCAGCTTCGTGCGAGACGACACAGACGAGCTTGATGGCACGGACACGTGGAGGTGTTGGCCAGGGTCGAAGTCGAAATGCTTGCTTCTGTGGACGCTTGGGGCTGGGAATGCATTGCACTGCCGACCGTAACCGTAAGCTCTCTGACCGACGCCACGTCGACCCCAAAATCTGTTGGTTAGCCTTGGTTAGAGCAGAGAGCCAGAACATGTACGGGTTTTGGTTGACGTATGTTACCGTAGGAGAGGGGGGTTTTGCAGGCCACTCGGCTGTTCTGAGCCCCCTGAGTTCAGTATAAGACAAGACAAAGATCGGACACCGACCGCAAAGAAGAGATTCAGAGGGAGTCCTGAAGGCAAGGGTTTCTGGACTTGGGGTGCAGAGCTGGAGTCGTGTTTGAACAAGAGGGGCCCACAACAGTAAGCAGCCAGCCAACTCCGGCCATTACAATTCCTGCGAAGATTCACACAGCCGGACTGCATTCTAAAGTATATGTACTGCTATGACTGTGAGAAACTGCCAAGTTGAACAGTCGATTCCTTGATACACGCTGTCACACATTGTAAGCTCTTGGGCCCAGTGAAGACGGAATTTGTCACACCCTGCAACGGAAGATCGCAAACGATAGGTACTACGCCCTGGTGGCGGAGAAGGAGGTTGAAAACAGCACGCGTGCCAAGTGCTGCAAACCAGCCTATTTGCTTTCTGATGGCCGAACCAAGAGGTGCCTGCTAAGCGAGCTTCATCACTCAAAGCATCTTAACCAGCTTGTCTCAACAACAACGAAGCGCATGCTGTCGTCTACATGAAGGCTTATGTCACTGCGATGGTGAAATGTGGAAGCAGACAGAGGGTCCTTTGCTCTTTGTACTGCCTTGGAATCTAGATGATGGTTTCAGCTGAACATGGCCATGAGTGCGTCGATCGCAAACGTCTTCCTATTCAGGCAAGCTGGTGGAAGCCCAGCAGGCAGAGGGCAGCGAAGCTGCTCCTCAGCCATCGTTAACGCCAACGCGAAGGCGAATATGCGTAAACTTTGCAGACATGCTGTCGACATCTGGCGACTTTGATTCAGCGAGTTTTAGGCGCAGGGGATTCAATGCAAGCAATGCAAGGCTTATCGGTAGTGTTTGCTTCCCAAGTACTCCCGAGGTCTTCCCTCAGGCTGCGCAATGCACGGCATGATACGGCGATACTGCGTTGCAGGTCCGTCGTCCGGCGGCCGCAGCTATTACAGAATTCGATGCTGCAGCATCCGGGCTTCAAAACGCGGTGGGGTCGGCCTGGCCTAGTCACGAAGGGGGTCGCCCTCAATCCGTCAAATTCAAAGGAATTAGAAAGCGCGATGATTATCAGGCAGCATTTGATGTCTGCCCTCTGTCGGTGCCAGCAGGTACCTGTCTCACACCGTGTGCGATGCCATCGAGCAAGGCCAGCAAATCAACATATCAAGACGGGGGTCTACCTGTGAGATTTCCCACAAGTGAGACTTGTGTCATGGCGGCAAACAGCTTAAGTATACATTCCACACTGCAGAGTTGCTAAATTGATGTCGATGCCGGGTGAAAATTCCAAGCACAGCTTCGAGTATGTCAACTTGAGACCGCTGTCCGTACGAAACCCCACGATCTGTCCTTGATGCGAGCCGGCTTGCTTCAATGCAGCAGGCATCATTTGCAAGGAGGACTTCCCTCGAGCAATCCTGGAGGACAAGCACAGCAAGTACAATGCCAGCAAGGACGAAATGTGTCTCTTGAAAGGGAGGGAGAATCAGGGAGAAGATCCTGATAAGACAGCACGCAAGAGTGGTGTAGCAGAGCCTGCACTGTGCCGCTATGCCGCCCTGCCTCTTTGTCGGAGGGCCGCTTCGAAGCAGTCGTCGTTTTCATGGACGCCTCGGGCTTCACAGCGCTGACGGAGTCCCTGGCGCGACAGGCTCACGGAGCAACTCGGCTCGGCAGAGCGAAAAGACGAGCTTCACTCCCCCACAAGCCCTAAGCCTAACCTCCCGAACCTCCCCCACCCCGCACGCCCCCAAGGTCCCCTCGTGCCCATACGCAGTGCCAAAATAACAGAGCAAAATTGGAGTGCATCTTAAGCGCATAACCCGGAACCGTCTGTAGCATACAACACATAACAAGGGGACCAAGTAGTGGGACTAGCATCTTACTATCAAGGTGATCGCAAGGCAGTGCCCTGAGCTCTGAGGTTAAGTAAGTTTCCCCAATTTGCAAGCCGCACGAAGGCTGAGTTTCACATGAGCTTTAGCAAACTCTTGGCACTCGAACAGGACAAGCGATGCCTGCATGCATTGCTGCCACCGGTTTTGCAGACACAGGCCGAAGAGATTGGTTCATGTTTGAACAACTTTTTCGGCGCCCTCATTGAGATCATCACCCGTGGGGTTCTCAGTGTGAAAGGGACCGACGTACAGAATGAGGCTGCGGTTCTGTTCCGACATGTTCCAACCCTGTCTGTATGTAAGTGAGAGGTCATGGAGGAGATGTGCTGAAGTTCAGCGGGGATGCCCTGACCATCCTTTGGCGAGTAGAGGACGAAGGCAGAGCATTAGCCGTATCTTGGCAGATCGACCTGCAATGATTGACGCACATTGTTGCCATTTCCTGCTCGGTTCTATCTTCGAGGGGAGTGTCTCTTCAGTGGATTCAATGCCTAAGACATGTATTTCGTGCAGAATCTGGCAGGCGTTCCATGGCGTTCCCGATCACCGAGCAAATCCACCAATTCATCTTGTCCGGTGCTCGATGTTGGAAGTTTGCAAAGCAATCACGCAGTATGCACCCTGGGTTGAAAAGTTGCCGCATAATGTGAGTTCATGTCCCATGTGCCCGAGGTTTGTCAAAGATATCTGGGGCACTGCAAGGTCTTAGTCTGGGGGATGCTATTATTTGAAGGCACTGCACTTTAGCTCCGGGCATTTAGAGTTCTCGCTCTGTTGATAGAAAATGTAGTATTATTGTGTATTCAGCGCATCATTCATCGGGGTACAGCACGACAATGCGCCGTTGTCTGAGTTGTTAAATGTTGTGCAGCAGTGTCTAAGGCACCCTGCCGCCGGTGAGCAAAGCTGATGCAACCTCGCGGCAACTCATAATGCTAGTTGAAGAAGCTGTCGTCCCGATCCCCGGTCTCTATTGCAAGTACCATCTCCAAAGTGAGCTCCAATACATCGGCCAATGCTCCTAGAGCGCTGATGCGGTGATGCGCTGACCCGCCACCCCAAATTGCGAATTGAATCGCATGAGCAGCCAATCGCTGGGAGAGCAGGATCTTCAGCTAACACATGATCGCGGGCTCAAGGCATGATCCACCAGTGTCTTGTGCTCTATCTCGCAGCGCTTGAAGGTATTACATGATGCGATTTCGCATTACTGCGCTCTGTTTTCTTGCACTGTTGTTAATTTTAACGCTACGCCGCCTGCCTCGGCTGTGTAGCGGCAGGGCGAGGGGGCAGTCGATGTTCTTTTATGCTAGGGCGGCCTGTCAAACCCCAAGCTTTACACGAAGTGCCAGGAAAACGGGCACAGGGGGAGGGAGGGGGGGAGGGCGGGGAGGGGGGGGGAGGGGGGGAGGGGGGGGAGGTGGAAGGGGGGGAGGGGCAGTGGGGGGGAGAGAAGGGGAGGCGACAAATCATGTAAAATGAGGGAAGGGAGGCCTGGGAGGGGGGGGGGGAGGCCGACAAATCAGGTAAAATGAGGGGAAGCCGGGCAAGGGGGTGGCAAACGAACGCAAAAACAGGGTGTCAATCATTTCGCTGAGGTAACCACCAAAACGCCTGGGCCTCTGGCCTCGGCGGATTAGTTCCTGTTCTTGCTGGGTTGGCAAATACAACGATGATGTTTGTCGTTCTTGGTCGCGTGATTCTATCGGCGGCTTGTTTTCATAATTGTTATGTCAGTCTTGCAAGTTTATTTCATCTTTGCGGGTAAAGATGCCTGCTATGTCGGGAGATCACCGCCGGCTGTGACCCAGAAGCTTGGGAGGTCTTGCTTTGGCTGACCCACGCTGCTGAAAACGTTGACGTGCATGTTAGGTGCTTTTGTCGCTCCTAATCGAGTTCGACTGTTTTTCTAATGCCGTGCTATCATGCTATGTCAGCGCACATGGTGTCGCAATCTGTTTTGTACTCGGTGGCTGGCTTTTTCAATCATCCAAATGCTCCCTGCGCAAGAGGGTTGCAAATATTGTAGGATGTACTGTAGATCAATGTGGCAGTGAGTCAAAAACTTCTGGTATGTAACAGGGCCGGGGCGCCCCTCGCGCGACAAAGTATGTAACAAAAGCGGGTTTCTGCGACAAGGTCCAGCATGTATGTATGTGTACATGTGTATAGATTTATATTGTGTATATATTTAGGTATGTAGGTTCTGTGTCGTAGTGGCAGCAGTAGTAGCAGGCAGTCGAGTAGAGCACCAGCACCAGTTGCATTTGGGCAAAGGGGCATGGGCAAGTGGGAATGGGTGGGTTTGGGAGGGTTTCGGCGGGTTTGCTCGGTTTTGAGTGGGTTTGGTTATGCTCTTGGCGGATTTGGGTCATTTCAAAGTTTCGATTCTGGATGGGGGGAAAGGCCCCAAATGACGGCGCCTGGAGTCTTTCCAAAACTCCTAATGGGGTGGCCGCCTGCACCAGAGCTATCCTTCCATAGCCTAACGGGCAGGTGGAGGTTTTGCATGTGAGGCAGGGAAAAAGCCCCTGGCTCAATCCCCGGGCGGGTCGTTTGCCCTTTCCCCACCCGGAATCGAGATTTTGGGGTGACCAAAAGCTCTGGGCACCCTGCGTCGAGAGTACTGCCAATTGCTGCACTACTGCCAATGGCTGCATTACTGCCAATTACTGCACTACTGGTCATCACTGCACTACTGCCAAGTACTGCACTACTGGTCATTGCTGCACTACTGCCAATTAGTGCACTACTGCCAATTACCACACTACTGCCAATTGCTGCACTACTGCCAATTACCGCACTACTAGTCAATACTGCACTACTGCCAATTACTGCACTGCTGGTCATTACTGCGCTACTGCCAATTACTGCACTACTGGTCATCACTGCACTACTGCCAATTGCTGCACTACTGCCAATTACTGCAATACTGGTCATTACTGCACTACTGCCAATTACTGCACTACAGGTCATCACTGCAGTACTGCCAATTGCTGCACTACGGCCAATGACTGCAATACTGGTCATTACTGCATTACTGCACTACTGGTCATTGCTGCACTACTGCCAATTGCTGCACTACTGCCAATTGCTGCACTACTGGTCATCACTGCACTCCTGCCAAGTACTGCACTACCGCCAATTGCTGTACTACCAGTTACTGCGCTGCTGCTAATTGCTGTGGCGGTGTTGTGGAAGTGTTGTGGAAGTGTTGTGGAGGTGTTGTGGGGGTGTTGTGGACGTGTTGTGGAAGTGTTGTGGAAGTGTTGTGGAGGTGTTGTGGAAGTGTTGTGGAAGTGTTGTGGAGGTGTTGTGGAGGTTTTGTGGAAGTGTTGTGGAAGTGCTGTGGAGGTGCACTACTGCCAATTGCTGCACTACTGCCAATTGCTGCATTACTGCCAATTACTGCACTGCTGGTCATCACTGCACTACTGCCAAGTACTGCACTAGTGCAGGTAGTGCAGTAATGACCAGTAGTGCAGTAATTGGCAGTAGTGCAGTATTGACTTGTAGTGCGGTAATTGGCAGTATTGCACTCTTTGGCAGTAGTGCAGCAATGACCAGTACTGGTCATTACTGCACTACTGCCAATTACTGCCCAAATGAGGGCGCCTGGAGTCTCTTCAAAACCCCAGGGAGGGTGGACGCCTTTCCCGGAACTATCCTTCCATAGCCTAACGGGCAGGCGGAGGCTTTGCATAAGAGGTAGGGAAAAGGCTCTTGGCTCAATCCCCGGGCAGGTCGTTTGGGCCCTTTCCCCACCTGGAATCGAGATTTTGGGGTGACCAAAAGCTCTGGGCACCCTGCGTCGAGAGTACTGCCAATTGCTGCATTACTGCCAATTACTGCACAACTGGTCATCACTGCGCTACTGCCAATTGCTGCACTACTGCCAATTGCTGCACTACTGCCAATTACTGGTCATTACTGCACTACTGCCAACTACTGCACTACTGGTCATCACTGCACTCCTGCCAAGTACTGCACTACTGGTCATTGCTGCACTACTGCCAATTACTGCACTACTGCCAATTGCTGTACTACCAACTACTGCGCTGCTGCTAATTGCTGTGGCGGTTTTGTGGAAGTGTTGTGGAAGTGTTGTGGAGGTGTTGTGGAGGTGTTGTGGAAGTGCTGTGGAAGTGTTGTGGAGGTGTTGTGGGGGTGTTGTGGAAGTGTTGTGGAAGTGTTGTGGAAGTGTTGTGGAGGTGTTGTGGAAGTGTTGTGGAGGTGTTGTGGAGGTTTTGTGGAAGTGTTGTGGAGTGTTGTGGAAGTGTTGCACTACTGTTCACTATTGCACTACTGCCAATTGCTGCACTACTGCCAATTGCTGCATTACTGCCGATTACTGCACTACTGGTCATCACTGCCCTACTGCCAAGTGGCAGTAGTGTAGTGCGCTACTTGGCAGTAGTGCACTCATTGGCAGTAGTGCAGCAATGACCAGTACTGGTCATTACTGCACTACTGCCAATTACTGCACTACTGGTCATCACTGCACTCCTGCCAAGTACTGCAATACTGGTCATTGCTGCACTACTGCCAATTACTGCACTACTGCCAATTGCTGTACTACCAATTACTGCACTACTGCTAATTGCTGTGGAGGTGTTGTGGAAGTTGTGTGGAGGTGTTGTGGAAGTGTTGTGGAGGTGTTGTGGAGGTGTTGTGGAAGTGTTGTGGAAGTGTTGTGGAGGTGTTGTGGAGGTGTTGTGGACGTGTTGTGGAAGTGTTGTGGAGTGTTGTGGAAGTGTTGCACTACTGGTCACTATTGCACTACTGCCAATTGCTGCATTACTGCCGATTACTGCACTACTGGTCATCACTGCACTACTGCCAAGTGGCAGTAGTGTAGTGCGCTGATTGGCAGTAGTGCACTCATTGGCAGTAGTGCAGCAATGACCAGTACTGGTCATCAGTGCACTACTGCCAATTACTGCCCCAAATGACGGCGCCTGGACTCCCCCCAAACTAATGATTCGGTGGCCGCCCCTCCCAAAGCTATCCTTCCATAGCATAACGAGCAGGCGGAGGCTTTGCATGAGAGGCAGGGAAAAGGCCCCTGGTTCAATCCCTAGGGGTGTCGTTTGGGCCCTTTCCCCACCCGGAATCGAGATTTTGGGGTGACCAAAAGCTCTGGGCACCCTGCGTCGAGAGTACTGCCAATTGCTGCACTACTGCCAATTGCTGCATTACTGCCAACTACTGCACTACTGGTCATCACTGCACTATTGCCAAGTACTGCACTACTGGTCATTGCTGCACTACTGCCAATTAGTGCACTACTGCCAATTACCACACTACTGCCAATTGCTGCACTACTGCCAATTACCGCACTACTAGTCAGTACTGCACTACTGCCAATTACTGCACTACTGGTCATTACTGCACTACTGCCAATTGCTGCACTACGGGTCATCACTGCACTACTGCCAATTGCTGCACTACTGCCAATTGCCGCACTACTGCCAATCACTGCATTACTGGTCATTACTGCACTACTGCCAATTACTGCACTACTGGTCATCACTGCAGTACTGCCAATTGCTGCACTACGGCCAATGACTGCAATACTGGTCATTAATTACTGCATTACTGCCAATTAGTGGACTACTGCCAATTACTGCACTACACCACCACCACTACTACTGCTACTACTGCTACTACTACTACTACTACTTCTGCTACTACTATGGAGGTGCCCAGCAATGTCGCGCGACAAGGGTTTGAAACACGCCGGCGCGACAAGGGTTTGCAACAGGGGGGGGGGGGCGCGACAACACGGGGTTTTTTGACCCACGGCCATGTAGTGTCAGGTACTGAAATGCAATGCAGTACGTGACGTGGCAATACACCATATGTATGTCCGTATGTATGTATCTATGTCTGCATGTATGTATGCATGCACGTATGCCTGCATGTCTAGCTTTATAGATAGGTAGGTAGATGACAAAGAGAAAGAGAGAACGAGAGAGGGAGATGGATCGATAGCTAGCAGCTTTTACGTTAGATGGACGACAAATATAGCGACAGATAGATAGATAAGCAGCTAGATAGGCAGGTGTGTGTGTGTGTGTTGTGCGCATGCAGATATGCATGTTCCAAGGTCTTCCTCCTACCAGGTATGTCTTCGTGGAACTTCGTGGTGCTAATGTCATTTCATGCTGGATGTTTGTTCGACGCACGGACATTGCGAGTTGCACTGAACAAAGGCGCGCTTCAGCGCCGCGGCAAACGCTTGCCGGTGCTGCATGGAGGTTCAAAGCCGCGTGTAGCTGGCTTTGAATTATGCATTCGGCTCAGGGCTGGTGTGATCTGTAAACTTTGCCAAACCTGTGGGTTCGGGCTGCCAAAGTGCAACCATATGACACGTTGTCATTTCCCGGGCCAGGCAGATCCTGATTATCTGATTGATTGCATGCGAGGGGGCCGCGGTGCCGTCTACGTGATTTTCGGGTTTCGTGCGGTACCAGGAGAACCCCGGACTGGCGATCTGCAAGATGTACAAGTCGACGCGGTCTAGTTGCAATTCCATGTACCATATTCGCATCATAACATCGTAGGATCACGCTGTATTATGGTTGGCCGATATTGCCACAGGACACCTGCTAGTCCCTATAATCGAAGAAGAGGGTACCTGGCATTGTCGCATCTCGGTGCTACGATTGCAGATCAGCAGATCATCACGCCGAAGCCGTGCAACCATGAAAAACAGGCCTCCAACCAGGAGTACAAGAGTCCGTTGACACATGTTACGGGATCCATCCACTGCCTGACAGGCTAGCTGTATGAAGGAGGGGTATAGCGCTTGCTGCATGGGAGCGTTGATGTTCCTATGCTTTTGTCTCTCGCTCTCTCTCTCTCTCTGTTTCTCCCTCTCTGTCCCCTCTCTCTATCACTATCTGTATGTGCACGTGCGAATGGGTCAGGATAGCGATTCCGGTTGGTAATCTGGTCCAGGTTAGATTTCCGAGGAGCTTGGAAGGTAGGTGCAAAGAAGTCGAGGTCCAGCTTCGGAGCCACGCCCGTGCCCGGTGTGGTTCTGACGCTACACATCGGCGTGGGCTTCGGCCCGCTGACACTTTTGCAGCTGGGCCGGGCGCCATGCTGCATCCGGGCTCTTCACAGAACAGCGCAGAAGGCCCATGATGAAACGAAGTTTGAGGTGGAGTCCTGGATCGCTGGGAGTTTTGTGCAGCTGGGCAGCCGCTGGAGGAGGCTGTCAATCATAAGAGCACAGGTTCTGTTGAACGTTCAAGCTCGGCGAGAGTGTCTTCGTACAAGCACGTATCTTCTCCCAAACTAACAATTTGTCGAAGCTGATCTTTGCATGGAGGTGGCGATCGCGGAACCTTTGGCTCATTCTGGTGAGACCGTTGTCAGCTCGAGTGTTCAGGAGGTACTGGCTTCGAAAGGAGCCTTGGAACATCAAATATGGTTTGTGTGGGCCCAAACCTCAAGACCTAGACTTAGACTCGGACTGAGCCCGCTGTACAAGCAGATGCAACAGCACTTCTGAGGACAGAGCAGCGAGTTCTGCTTCGAGGCCTGTTCAATGGCTTGGCTTGGTCTCAATTTTGCGAGCTGCGCTCTGCAGGGCAAAAGCCGCACAGCCCCTCTTGCAGCCTTGGTTGGTGAAACGCCAGGCCGGCTTTCCGGAGCAACCCGGCTACGCCCTCCTCACTTCCACAGCTGCTCCGCTGGGGAGTGGAAAGGCAGCTTCAAGCGAGCGGAGGGTGCAGAGATGTGCAGAGAGAGAGAGAGAGAGAGAGGGAGAGAGTCAGAGTCTTACCCCAGAGCAAAGCAAAGCAAAGAGCGCGGGCTGCAAGGACTGCCTGCAGCTCGCACCCCTGAGAAAAGCAAAAAAGAGAGAGAGAGAGAGAGAGAGAGAGAGGCGATAGCCCCTCGCTGATGCAGACAATGTCCTCTGTCTTCAACAAGATACCAGCAACAGTACCACAAAGCTCAGCCCCCACCACCATCGACAACGATGCAGCAACAGAGTCTGCAGAGGCACCCACCACAGGACAAGCACAAGCAACAACAGTGCAGACTCCCCTACGCTCCTGGGAAAGAGTAGAACAATATTTTATGGCAATCCGCCGCATAGCGGAACGCTATGACGACAGCCAAGGAGCACAGATAGTAGAGAGAGCCACACATGCATTAGCAGACCTGTTGGTGGACAGCCAAACAGCAGCTGAACTCGAAGCAATGGAAGACCTTCCAATAGGACAACCACACACAGCGGCGGATGACACGGGGAACGCGGCAGCCAGCAGTGGTGGACCAAGCCTGCAGCAGGCAAGCCAAAAAGACATTGTTACAGCAACACTAAAAGAGCACAAGACCTCCGAAATATTGGCCGAGTACAAATGACAGCAGCAGCCCAATGTGTCACATATGCTACGGTAGCCCCCATGATAGCCGACCTTTTGCGATGGCTTGAGACGATCAACCCGGGGACCCGGGGGACATCGCAGTTCATCTGCAGCTGCCTCCGGCGTTGACCCCGCTTCGAGAGGTCCTGAATGCCATCTTAGATGGTGGTGCACAAACAGCCAACTCGGCACAGCTGGTAGAAGTGGGGGACACGCTCGAGGTGTTCGTTGCCGGTCAGATCCTATCCCACCCGGCAGACGTGGTCAGTCAAAGCCCCGGGCAAACAGAGTGCAGCTTGATGGCCGCCGAAACAGCCACACCGCATTGGTGCCATGCTGTCGACATCATACACGCGATCCTGGCGAAGTGGGAAAGTATCCGGCGGCCTTTTTACCTAGGTTGCAGGAGGCGGCCATGAACCTGGTCAGGGGGATCTCTCGACTCATCCCTGAGGAAAGACATGGACTGCCGGGGACCCAAGCCAGTGGTGGACTGCAGAACGACACCACGGCCTGGGGGACGTACGACGTGCTACAGCTCCCCAGTCGCCACGTCAACGGGGAACCCACCGACCTCGCAGCCCATCCTCAGAGGAAGCGAAGGAAGGATCCAACGACAGTCACAGGCGACGAAGAGACTTGGCGATCCACCTCCATGAGCAGGGCATGTGACCGGGGGACCAACAATCAACGACTCGCTCAGCTACACGATTCCCCGCACGGAGCTTTGAGATGACTTGCTCCACTGAGCCGTGAGCTGAGGGCCAATGGGGGGACAAACAGCTTAACTTATAACTTGTTTTGTATTGTTCTCCCAGCTGGCTAGGGAACAGATGCATACACGCTGTATCAGGTCCGACCCAGGTTCCGTGACCACTCGGCTCCCCGAACGCTCGGCTTCATATCATAACTGTAGTGGGATGTGAGTCTTAACTGCCTGTCGCATGAAGAAGCTGGGGAAAGGGGGACCGACAGCACAACCAAAGAATCACGACCTGTATTGGGCTAGGAGCTGCCAAAGTGTCAATTTTTGTAAACACTCCGAGTGACCCCCCTAACGATGTACTCTAGCCTAGATCCTCTGATGGGGTATGACATTACTATAAATCGGGGGACACACCAGGAACCTCAAACACACATGTCGCACACAGACCGTGGAGCGGTCGACTTGGGTCCCCAGAAGTTTCACAGCTATCTTCTCATCCCTAGGAGGGTTTATGATCGTGTTGTATGATGAGGAACCCAGGAACTGACAACAATACTTGTGCATGTGTCGACAGCTTGCAGAGGAACCCTGATAATCCATAGGCCAGTAAACTTCTTTTGCACATCAGGGGGATTCGCTCGCCTTTTCACGCCGTACCAAAAACCCCATAACACATGGGGGTGTGGCCGGGGGGCCTGACAAGCCTCCCAAGCCCTGCAGAAGAAGAGACAGGTGAGAGAAAGTGCAAAAGCCAAGACGAGGCCGAAGCCGTCGGTTGACTGCATCCTTTTCCCGCCGTCGCTTCACACGGCTGCTTTGAACACTACCCACGAGTATTTCTTTGGCTTTGTGTGTAAGCCCCTAGACGAAGGCATGCTCAAATAAGCATGAGCAGACGCCGAGCAGTCATGACAAGACATGTGCATTGGTGCCTGTTTGAGACCCACTCGTCTGATTTGTGGTGGGCTTGCGATCCTGTTCGTGGCTTCAGCAGCTGAGATTCTGGTGTTCTCCATCTTTGACTGCTTTTGCAACTGCTTGTTGTGGGGCGGGATAACCTGCAAAAACGAATACAAACCTCCAGCTCGAGCAAGTTCGTCCGTGGCCTCAGAGTTGCGCTTTGCGCGGTGCCTCGACGTTTGCGGCCTTGGGGCCGGTGAGCGACACAGGGCCGGCTCCAGTTTGCCCACGCTCTTGCATTTGGAAAACAGGTATGGGGAGAGGCTGGGATTCAACTGCCAAACGTTCCAAAGAAGTTTCCGCCGCACATGGTTTTGCTTTTGCCGTGTCCCTCGTTCTTCTCTCTGCGCGGCCGATCAGTGCAAGCACGAGCATCTGCCATGCGAGGGGTGCAACATGGCGCTGACTAAAGCACACGCCGAGACATGCCTTCTAATAAGAGAAAGGATGAAGGATGCAGGCTTTGCAAGACTTGTCGCGTGAGCCACTGTTGTTCGGTACATTCATGCTGGTTCGACTTCGGTTGCAGCAGTATGAGAACCGGGTTTGAATCATCGGAACTATCGAGACTCAACGGAGCAGTAAAGCCCCTGCCAGCAGTTCCCCGCAGGAGCACCCACGCTCGCCAGCGCGGCGCACGCTGGATGCCAGTGTCGTCCAACGTTACGTGCCACAGGCGGCCAAGAGGCGATTCCAAGTTGCAGTCTTCATCTTATTGGCCATGGCAGCTAGCACGTGCCCGCTGCTTGCACATCTAATAGGCTGTAAATGTGGCACATGACAACAGGGTTCTGGTCCGAGTCGAGAAGCCTTCCTATGGCCAGGAATCTCTCCCAAACATCTGTAGAGGCATTGATCCTGGGTCCGGGCCTCAACCTCTGTCATGCCTTGGACCTGCATGGGACCGAGAGACAGACTGACAGACAGACACAAAAAACACACACACCTTTCTCTCTCGCTCCCTCCCTCCCTCCGGCACGAGCTGTGTAAGAACAGTCGCAGATTTCAGAAGATAATGATGAAATGATGGGTGGCATCAGACAACAAATGTATCCGTTGTCTTGTCATCAGTGAGGCAGGCTGATCGCTTGATTGTAGGCATGTGGTGGTGAAGATGGTCTGCACAGACTGGGTGCAAAGTGAGGCAACCTCGGAAGACCAGAATGCTCACGTCGGTGAGTTATGGACCTCGTCCCAACTCACAAGACTACTACACGACGCGTAGATTCATGAAAATTGCTGCATCTCGCAGATATGCAGCTAAGTCTGGGACTTCCGTCACAGGATGAGCAGCGGAACTTCCAAAGAATTCACAAGTTGGTACCGTTACGATACTGTGCTGAGCATGACTGGCGGGGTTCCTCTGCTTGCATCCGGCATGTCGGTGCCTGCGTCCTTCAGGTCTACAGCCCGAGATGCGCCGCGTCTCTGTGATCTTCCTTTCTATCCGAGGCGTCCCTGTGCCAGCCTGCTAGCAGCGGAAATTCTCCTGGGTTTTGGATGTTGAGACTTTACGCGGCGGCGGTTAAGCCCGAAGGCCTTTGCAGCATGTTGAGGCAACACAAATGTAGCTGTGTCACCGTGAGAACCTGCAAATTGAGGCAGCCGCTGCATGGTATTGGGTTTGCGGGGATGATGTTGAGCAGATGAAAACCGTAGTGCAGGACCCTCCTATCTTCACGCCAGGCCTCAATCCTGGATCGCTGACACCCACCGGAGATGATCTGCGTACGCAACAGGCACTCTCGTCCAATCTGTGCAGGGTCGATTCAGTGGTGATGCAGCAAAGACCGTTCGCAAAAGACTGAGTCCAGAACCGCCGCGCTTCGGGGTATGTTACATTGGAGGTTCGGTATTCTGTGAGTTGGCTGCTTAGGGGGCACGGACCAAGTGTCTTCGTTGCGAAGCCTCAAGCCCGAAGCGCTAGACCGCTAAGCCCTTTCTAGGCTCCTAAGGCGGCGATGCACACGAAACCTTGGTGTGACGAGGCTTGATCTCAGAACGAAGTTTCTGCGGTCGATAGATCTGCTCAGGTCGTGAAGCTCTTGCAGCAGTCCTGCTACGCCTTCGAAGGCTGGTGGCCAAGGGACGGTGTGTAGCCGCGGAAGATGTTGCCGTTTTCGACAGCTCCGCGGCAATCTCAACAAATCTCACCGTGTGCCATAGCAATGTGAGCAGAGTGGTCGGTGTGGCAGGCTCAACAACATACTGCAATGCAATGGTACGCCAGAACCGTCCCCTGATGGAGGTAGCGTCAACAAATTCCTTGTGGATGACAAAGGCCTGTGGAGCGATGGTTACGTCTTTACACTCTGCAGGTTTGCAGTGAGGCTTCGACCGACCCGCGGGTGGGTAGCTGGGAGTGGGTGGGTGTCTGTCCGTGCGTGTACGCGCGTGCGTGCCTGCACCGCGTGTGTTCGTGATTTTTGTTTGTGTGTGTGTGCGCAATCGTGAGTTTTCTGTGGAAACTGCATTGTTCGTATCGCAGCTGTCTCTAGGTCAATGCACGCGAATAGATACAGGTTGTCAGTGTGGGAAGCAAGTATGAAAAGACTTATCCTACAAAGCACAGGCCTGCAGACATACATATATACGTACGCATACGTACACACACATATACATACACACCGACGTACATATATACATATATACATATGTATATATGTATATATAATACATGCATGACATACACTGTACTATACACATATGCAATCACTCGTTCATCTAGTCCATTCATTTATTCATTCATTCATTTGTACGTGAGTTGCACGAAGTGCATTAGTCACATAACAACGCAGTGTGACAGCGTGCAGCCGGAGGCTGGGTCATGAGCTGCATGCGATTGATTCCGTAGAACCACGGAACATATCCTGATTTTCTCCCTCGAGGCATGGTACGTCGAGCTGAATGCAAACTTGAGCTCTAATTCCGATGGTTCAACATCAGTCTAAACCTGTCAATCTCATAGTATCTGTGGTTGCAGTCAAAAGTCGTGTGTGTCCAAAGTCAAGATGCTCCCTGCCATGCGTTCAAAGGACACCTGATGTTCTGGCATGTGCAGGCAGTGGGAAGATCGAGGCTACCCAAAGCCTCCCACAAATTCAGAATATTTACGTGTTGACCCATTCAAACTGGTCAGATAGTTAATCAAACCAATCATCTGATGAATCATCTCAAGCATACTACATCACTTTGCCAGCTGTGTGTGTGTGTGTGCGTGCGTGTGTGACACCTTGGCAAAGGAGAGGTTGAAAGAAACGGGGTGGTCAGGCTTCCAGTGACTGTCCTGACCCAACCAAGTTAGGTCGCTGTTTGCATCATCTACCTGCGCTTCTGACTAGCAAAGGGCAAGCCCAGCAAACCGCAACACATAGCAGAAGAAGTGGCAATGAAGGTTCGAGGAACGGAAGAAGTAAGCTGCATTGTTACCCCACGAACAGCTTCTCGAGGGTCGACTCAGGCGCGCGCTGGTGTGTGTGTGTGTGTGTATATGTATGTATGTATATATATATATATATATATACATATACATATACACACACACACACACTTCTTTATTCATTTATTTGCATATGCTTGTTTATTGGTTATATGTATCTGTACAGATGTGTATGTGTATGTATACATCTGGGTGTGTCTGTGTGTGGGGGGGGGGAGGGCGTTCCTCCCTGAATGCCTGCTGCAGCGCTCTCGGTCTACAGGCATGCTGCTTCTTTGCGCCTTCGGACTTCCGCCGTTGAGACTGGTCTAACTCGATTCAGGGGGTTGCCTGGTGCATGATGTGTCGGACAGTCTCTGACTGATGAGACCCGTCGCACCGCCAAAACTGTGTCCGCAAAATGGCTCAGGAACCACTACATCGACGACCCGCTCCTGGAAAGCATTCCGCTACGTATTCGGAACACATCCAACTCTCCAGCGAGGTGTGTTTCGGATATGCTCCCATAATTTCGCATGCAGCCCCGCCAAAACGTGTAGTTTTCAGTGCAGGTTGTTGCGTGTGCTAGGTGGAGCTGAGCTTCCCTCAGAAATAATCTGTGTCTTTGCCTTGACAGAGTATACTGCGTTTT